GAACCACCCCAGACTGCTCTCTGTAGTAAGTTCTCTCATCCATGATCTGTCTTCACTTGAATTGTTTTGCCATTTTGATTTATCTCAATCCCTGTTAATACTCTAATCCAATGCATCAGTTATTCAAGACGATATGACTTCAAAGCCGCTCAAAAAATCCTACATTTTCCTTGTTCTGAATTACGCAATTGTTGATTAATTATATCCATTCTCGTAATATATTAATGCGAAAGGCGATTCATTTCGATACAAAGTTAATGTCTTCTGTGTGTTTTTGTCTGTAGGGTTTGGCGTAAGATAAATCTCTCAAATCACCAGCATTACTCCATTGAAGTTTTCTCGAAGGTGTGTTTGCTACTTTGCTTTTTGTGTGCATAAGTTGTGTTTACCTGTCAATTAAAAAAAAATAAAAAAAAAATCAAGCAATGGATGCGAGTGGAAATTTGAATTTGAGAAATTGGGGATTTCTCGAGACACCATCCGCCACGCTCAAGAACACCTTGAATCTCCAGCTGATTCCCGAAAAACCCCTTTTCTGCCCTGTCGATGACCATTTGCATCCCAATCCACCGCCTGTGATGGCACCCACTAATAATGGATTAGAGTACCTAAATTTATTCTCTGCAAATTTATTCCCTGCAAATCACTACAACTCTTATCATCACCAGCCGAGCTTCGGAATTTCCCCCGAGACCTCATCCGCCAGATCCCTCCCAATCCCTCACCCCATAAATTTACCCAAAAACGACAAGAATGCCCCCGAGCAAAGAGAAAGTGGCAAAGGGCCCACAGCAAAAAAGAAGCAGAAGAAGGCAAGAACAAAAGCCCCATTGGCCCACCGCGCGAAAGCCCCCAAGAAAAGGGCCGAGATTGAGATTAATGGGCTGCATTTGGATATTTCGGATATTCCCATACCCGTCTGCTCGTGCACGGGCACTCCACAACAGTGCTACAGGTGGGGTTCGGGGGGGTGGCAGTCCGCGTGCTGTACCACGGGGCTTTCCTTGTACCCTCTGCCCATGAACACTAAAAGGCGTGGGGCAAGAATTGCGGGCAGGAAAATGAGCATAGGGGCTTTCAAGAAGGTCTTGGAGAAGCTCACGGGCGAAGGGTATGATTTCTCGAACCCGATTGATCTGAGGAGCTATTGGGCCAAACATGGAACGAATAAGTTTGTTACGATTCGGTGAGGCTTCTGATTGCTGGTTTTTCATAAAACTCGTTTGGCATTTTTTTTTTTTTNTGGTGTAAATATGTGGATGACCTGGCTGGGGAAGCAGAAGCTTCTTGATAGTTTTTCTGACTTGTGAGTTCTGTTTTTGGATGAAAGATTTGGTTTTTTTAACAGTTGAAATTTTGGTAGTTGAAGGAAACAGTAATTTTGCTTAGTGACACATTGGTGTGGGAGTGATTCTCTTGAGACTGATTTTTTGCTGTTTATTATGTCATATTTACTTTCTGATGGTGATCTTAATGAATGATATGCATTGATTCATGTTTCTTGATTCTATTTCTTGAAATAGCAAGGTTATGACCTACAGTGGCTTAATTTTGCACAGTAATATATATATATATATATATACTGCATGGCGGATGTTTGGCTTCTAAGGTAGGAAAGTAACTTTATATATCTACGAATCAGGGCATATAAGATTGCCAATGATAAAACTGGCAATAGATGCTGTTTAACTAAATGTGGGATATCTTTACGTACTATTTTTAATACTATATGTCTATATTTCGATAGTCCAGGTAAGCCAAGAGGTTATGTTTTATTGAACTTATCTTCTAATTTAAATAGGTTTTTCGAATTGTCTAAAGGTTACAGGAGATGATTGCTGGTGTTGAGCAGCGATGCTGTTATTATTTGTTTCTTTCTCTTATTTTTTTCAACAGGAGCGAAAAATGAAAGAAAAAAGAGATATTTTGGAGTCGGTTGTGCTAGTTATATATTCTTCCTAGGATTAATGATACCCATTATTAATTATAATGTGCCCGTGTTGATGAAACTGTGCAGATCACATGCTTAATAAAGCAACAGATGCATTATCGTTTTTGTTCATGCAGTTGTGAAAGACTTATAAGAGCAGAAGTTAATCCACTGCTATGTCTTTTTTGCAATTGTTTATTGGTCGTGTGGGAAATCATTTTCTGGGTTTGTGAAGTTTATAGCTTCTGATGTTGATGTCGATCAATGATCCTGCCTTCTGCTTTCTTGTGCTGTGCCATTTACATTTGTTTGTGGTAGATGATGGATAGTAAATTAGTAATAGCGTGTAAAGGTTGTGGCCAAAATTTCGGCTGTTGTGGCGAACTGGTTTAGATTCTGACCAATTTTATGATTTCAACTCTTGTGGAAGATGTAAAAAAGTTCTCACTTTTGAGAGAAAAAAAAAATAAAAAAAAAAATGCTTATTTTTGTATTAAAATGTCGTATTTTTTTAACATAATTTTAATGCTTTCAACGTAGACACACTGTAGAAATAGGACTAGATTATATCTTCTAGTCAAGAAGTATGTTATATTTTAGCTTTTTGACTAAAGTTGTCTTTGTTTATTTTCTAAGTTGAACATTTCGCCTATAAATTGTAAGATGTGCTTTGGTTATGGCATGTAAAAAATGTTCGGGGAAGTTGAAATGAATTTTTATAAACTAAAATTTTACCAGAGATATTCTGGTGTGAGACAGCTTTCTATCAATTTTTTTTTTCCCAAAAAAAAAAAANAAAAATTAGAAAAGTTAACAATAAAATATTATAATTTTATATAAATTATGTTTCAAATGTGATTATATAAATAAAAAATATGATTTATTTACACAATATGGTTATACTAGTTTAGCCCCACTAAAAAATATGATTTATTTACACATATTAATTTTTTCAATTATACCAACATTCTTTAAAATGAACATTGAATTTACCAATTCTCTCACTCCTCTTTAATTTAATTCAGCTCTACCCTTTCATCTTTTTTTCTCTTTCTTTTCCTTCTTATTAGTCGTGACCTGTGCGATGCACGAGATGCTATATTTTCCTAAAACGTTTAACGTATGCAATATGAAAAGTAGTAGACTTCTTATATATGTAACAAAAATAAACGGGTCGCAAAGAATGTAAAAAATCATAAGTTATTGAACTCTTCTTTGTACACAATGTTTTTTGTTCGACTTGTTGGCGAGCCATCGTTACCACTGCCCTTAATTTCATATAAGATTTATTGTTTGCAACTAATCCCTTTCACTGTGTCCCAAATTAGTGTCACTGTTATTTTTTCTGAAAAAACTGAAGTAAAAGAAAGACGTGTAAAAGCTTGCATATAGTATTATTCTAGCGTGCGTCGAATGGTTTAGTTTACATCATTTTTATAGAGCAATAAAAATATAGATGCATAAAATAAAGTATAAAATTGAAGATATCGCCGCAAAAAATGGTATTTTTTTTTAAAAAAATGATTGATTTATTTAAAGCCTATAAGCTTATGTATTTTTCTGAAGTGAAAATTGACAGATCAATATTTTTCAATCACCGAAAAAATGATGACAATCAACCAAAATATTGCATGGTTGTCTATTTTTGTTATTAAAAATTTTGTTGTACTTTATTAAAAAATGGGCACGAAGTATTACTATGGTTACGTACTAAAAATATGCACATAATTCCAAATTTGTTGGATATTTTTTCTAACCGATATACGGCATGTGCATGTTTCTTTTAAATTTATCTTGTTTTGGGAAATAAATTGCATAGAAATCCAATTTGTGCATAATATCTTCCTGATGATTTGTATCGAAGATTTGATATGTATCAAAGAAGCTTTTATAAAATAGGATATTGATTTTCTCAATTTTTTTTCACTTTTACTTCTCTTGAAGTCATAAAAAAAATAATTCAACTTGACTGAAATAGTATATTTTTTAAATTCGACATTTAAATTTAATCGATAAATTGCAAAGTAGTTAGATATTTTTTTGCAGTTAACATAGATAGACTAAATGAATATATAAATCTGTAATTTTGAAAAACTAATAAAAATACATATATTTAAGCCAATATTTTTTATCTTAAGTATTACAGCTGGAAAAAGAATTTAGGTAGTCAAATGTTTCTGTTTTGTTCGAAATTCAATGAAATTGAAACCACGAAGGGAAAAAATATTTTTTTTTATTAGTACGTAACTCTTATAATGGGGATGAATGATTCCTATGAATATGTACAAAAAATATGTAAATATGCATAAATATATAGAATTATTTTATGCATAATATATAGAATTTTTTTTACTTTCATAAAAATATAATTGATAATTCACATTTTGAATTTTTGTTATAAAAATAAAATTGGTGCATATTTTTTATTTGATATGTAAAATAGGAAATAAAAACTGATTTCATTTTAAATAATTTCATTAAAAATTTCAAATAAGAAATAGTTGTCGTGAAATATGAAAACAAATTACTTTAAATTTCAAATATTTTTACCTATTAAAATTTTCCTTCTATACGTAAAAGTAGGAAAAAAAAAATCCAACAATATTGACCAAAATGAAACGCATTTATTTTATAGTTATTTCAGAATTTTCTTTATTAAAAAGTCAAACTATTTTGACTGAAAAAAAACTTTCCAAAACAAATAAATCCAACAAACTCTTTCAATTATTATAGATAGATTTCTTGTTCAATTTGTTATTCATTCTTCTTCTTCTTTCTCGTTCAATTTCTGTTCCACCCAAAGTATCATTTAATTTCTACTTTTTTTTTTCGAATATTTTATCAAAATCGCCGACCACCCCCATCATCCCTTGGACGACACCGACTTAAAAGGTCATGACAGGGGAAGAGTCGCGACAAGAGGTTCGTATGGTGGATAACTGTGGGTCAGAGATCGACAGCGGTTGCTTGGCGGACCCAGCTCATCTCTTAATCGGCCTCTTGCAGCCTGTCGTCGTCGTCCGCCCCTTAGTCAGGCACCGAATCAGTAGGGCATGTGAACACTTATTGAATGTGTAGAATTGGGCAGGAAAATGGAGCTTGGAGCTGTTGAATCGACCTCTTACCGTGGTCGATTGGCGGTGGCGAAGGTTCTTGAAGCAACTCTTACTCTAGCAGAATCCACACACATCTGCTTATATAACAGGCTCGCTTTAGCTATTGAGACTCGGGAAGAAGCAACTAAGAGACCCGAAATTGGTAGCTTAGGGCTCCGGGTGGGGACTATAATCTCGGCGTTTGGTTCACTATATATATAGTTAATGATGTCTTAGTATTTGAGAGAATTTTTTTCAAATGTTTTGATATAATTATGTTGCGAAACATTTTAATATTTTATTAGACGATTATTAACAGTTTATATTGTTATATAATAAAAAAAAAAATTTAGCAATATCACGATATTTGATAATATAAATATGTTATAAATTATAAATACACTAAACGTAATCTTAAAGATAAATTAGTTTATAAATTTACAATAAAAGTGTATTTTTAATGTGAAATTGATTTTCTTTAAAAAAAGTTTGTATTTAAAAAATTGTAATATACATATGTAAGTTAGAAAAAAAAGNATGGAAAATGGGATTTAAAATTGGGCTGGGATACGAAAATTTATCGCCCGGCCCAAGAGGCTCTGAGCAATGGAGTAAATGTGAAGTGTTTTCTAATCGAATGATTGGTCAATTTTTAATCATGGCTATGTTCTTTGATCAGAGTACAGTCAATTTCTTCTCTCAAATTTGAGACAATGAGATGAATTTAATTGGGTTCGAACGAGGGCCCAATTTGTCTGTGGTCCTAAAATATATCGACATATTTTTAGGTCAAGTAAAATAATGAAATGTGTATTACTTATGGACTTCATACTCATGTANTTTTGGTGCAATTGATTGATTTTTTAATACTTTATTTGTTTTTTGAATCGTCATTAAGGGCCCGGATTGGCCGAGATTTAGCCAGCAAATAAGCCTCATTACTAAAAACGGTACCAAAAATGGACTTCTTTCCTGTTAGATATAAAGTAACCTTATTCGTCTTTTAAAATAGTAATGTCATGAAATTGACCGTGCCTAAGATTTAACATTACATTAATCTCAAACAAAAATAATGATACCCACATAAACTTGAAAAACTTTATCATTAAAAAAGTAATTTACCACTAAATTTTATTTCTTGCCTCACATACTTACTTGAATAGAC